TAATCTATAATAATAAAAGCATAATATGCTAATTAGACTGGACAGCCAAACGACCTTCTGGACATAATTCTGGACACCCCTCTGGACAAAGCCATGGCAGCGGGGGCTGAAGCAGAGGTTAGGGGTGATCAGGCAGGCAGGCGAGCAGTTAGGGGTGATCAGGGAGGCAAGCAGTTAGGAGCCAGTGGTCCTGGATTGGGAGAGGGTGCAGGCTGAGCTGAGGGACCCCCTCCCCGTGCACGAATTTCGTGCACTGGGCCTCTAGTCTATAATAATAAAAGCATAATATGCTAATTAGACTGGCCGGCTGGATGATCTTCCAGACAAAGCCAGGGCTGCGAGGAAAGCCCGGGTCCCGAGTGCCAGAGGGAAGCTGGTGCCGGCAGCTGGGGGAAGGAAGGCCTACTCTTGCACGAATTTCATGCAACGGGCCTCTAGTATAAACATAACTAAGGATGGGGCTGGTGGCCAGTGGAGCCAGCAACATGATTAGAAGTTTCAGGTCCACCCCTGACCTCTGGGGAGGGGAGAGGAGAGGTACTGGAGGTTGAATTAATCACCAATGGCCAAGGTCTTAATCAACTATGCCTACGTCAGGAAGCCTCCATAAAACCCCGAATGATGGGGTTCCAAGAGCTTCCAGGTTGGTGAACAGGAGGTGCTGGGAGGGTGGTGCCTCGGAGAGGACATGGAAGCTCCATGCCCTTCCCCACACCTTGTCCCGTCCATCTTTTCATGTGGCTGCTGATTCTTATCTGTGAATACCCTTTGTAATAAATGAGTACTCTAGTGAGTAAATGGGTTTCTGAAGTTCTCTGATCTGCTCTAGCAAACTCATCGAACCTAAGAAGGGGGCCAGAAGCACAGGTGACAATCTGGACTTGCAGTTCAGTTGGCATCTGGAGAGAGGGTTTGGGGTGGGGACAGTCATGTGGGACCGAAAGCCCTGAACCTATGGGATCTGACGCTGTCTCCAGGCAACAGATGTCAGAACTGGGTTGAATTATGGGATACCCAGCTGGTGAGGGAGAATTGTTGGTGTGGGGAACCTCCCCTCCCAACGCTGGAAATTGGGTGCAGAATATTTTAATGTAAAGTGTCCAGAACAGGCAAATCAGATTCCAGACAGAAAGCAGATGAGTGGTTGCTAGGGGCTGGGGCAGGGGGACTGGGGAGTGCTGCTAAGGCAGATGGTATCTCCTTTGGGGGTCATGGAAAAGTTCTGGAAAAGATGGTTGTATAATATCATGAGTGTGTTAAAGGCCACAGAATCGTTCACTTTCAAATGGTGGCTCTCCTGTTAATTTCTGTGGAGCCTCCTGCCTGAAGAGAGATGGCCTCAGACAGCCCCCCGCTTCTGTGTTCCCGGGAACTCAGCCTCTGACGGAACTCAGATGCGACCTCTGCACAGCCGTGTGAGCATGCAGGGTCTCGTGGATGGGTCATCCCTACACCCCTACCCACTTTACCTGCCCCTCCACTTCCTCATCACTAGAGAGGGAATGGGTCCGAGTGGAAAGATGAGGCTAGTTGAACCTCCTGACCAGCTGCAGCCAGGATGGTAGGGGAGCCCCTGATGAGAAGCCAGGGCTTAATGAAGGTGGGAGGTGGGTTGGCCCAGGCCCCTCCCATTACCTGGTGATAACCCACCGCAGGGAGCTGAGGCGGAGCCCAAGGGCGCTGGAGTCTTGGTGGCCTACGCAGCCAGTGGCTTTGTGCTGGGGAGGGGGCTGGATCCTGTTTTTCCAGTGGGAGCCTTGCTCTGTGGCCTCCATTGATCCCGTACTTCTTGCCTGCACACCCCTGTCACACTTTACACACCTCCACCATCTGCCCATCTTCTCCGTGGCACAGGGACCAGTGCCAGGGGCCCGGAGTCCTGAGCAGTGGAGGAAGGTCCAGGTGACTCAGGGGGAAGGGTTCCTGGAGCACCCCCTCCCCCATCACCTTCTGGTGGCTAGTCCTGACACCAGCCCTTTGTGCCCTAAACCTCAGCACCCCAATTCCTTGCTACTTCCTCTCTGGGCCCAGCAAGGGACTGGGGCCCAGACTGGCTTCCTCCTTTCCCCAGCCTTCCAGAAACCCCAGCCTGGGGCAGGGAGAGCCAAGCACAGACCCTCTCAGCCACAGAGCAAGGGGGTGGCACTGGAATTTGAATTATGATAGTGTTGACCCCCAGCATGTGCAAAACCCCACTCCCTGTGTGCCCTCCCCGCGGCCCTGACACGAGTTCTGTTACCACCATTTTTTTCTTTAATATTTTTATTGATTTCAGAGAGGAAATGAGGAGAGAGACAGAAACATCAACGATGAGAGAGAATCATTTATTGCCTGCCTCCTGCACACGCCCTACTGGGGACCAAGCCCACAACCCAGGGAGGTACCCTTGACTGGAATGGAACCCGGGACCCTTTAGTCCGCAGGCCCCCACTCTATCCACTGAGCCAAACCAACTAGGGCGACCACCTTTTACAGATGGGGAAACTGAGGCTCTCCCCTGTGCCCAGTGTCAGGGAGAGGAGGGGCAGGAATGTGAGCACAGAATGGCTTCTCTGGGGCTGACAGCTGTCCAGGCCGATGTGTCTGGATCAGGGCAAACTCTTGGAGGCTGTTATATTTGGGGGAAACCATAAATAGACGGGGGGACTTCAGAATCCTATCCCAGGCCTAGAAATACCAGGGGAACACATGGCCCAGTAGAAGGCCAGACATGTGTGAGGTCCCCTTTGTGGAGTCACCCCCTAAAACCTATGTACCTTCTTGTGCCCCTGGGGTTTGGTTCCCTTATCCATTCATGGAAATGAATGGTCCCCGCAGCCTGGAGTCCAGTGAATGTTGTGGTCTCACCGTTATTGATCTGCAGGCTGCCACCTTGGACAGCACCCCCTGTGCTGGGCTCTCTCTGCCTCCTGCTGACCTTGCTCTGCCACGTGAGGATGACTCAGCACTCTGGAGTAACTCTCTGGCCTCTGCTGGTGTGTGTGGGGGGAGGGAGCCCTAGCTCCTTGCCTAGTCATCCCTACATCCTTTATTGAGTACTTTGTGCCAAGCTGGTGGGGCAAGAGGATGTTAGGGTGAGCACATGTGTTTAACTAAGCACCTGCAGATTACCTGGGAGGTCACAGGGACCTCAGGACTTTCCTATCGCCTGGTATAATTCCACTGCACAGAGCTAAGGCTGACGAGGGGGGTGCCAGGGGCGGGGGTGGAGGGGAGGCTAGACTTGGTTGGCCTAGCACAGCTGGGGGGTATGTGCTGGGAGAGAGGGCTGAACTCGGTTCTCCCAGCAGGAACATGGCTGTGTGGCCCCCACTGATCCTTGTACTTCCTGCCTGCACACTCCTATCACACATTATACATCCCACCATCTATCTCACATGGCTGCCCACCCTCTCCATGGCACAGGGGCCAGTGCCTGGGGCCAGAAGTTCTGGGTGACCCAGGAGGAAGGGTGTGCCTGGGGCACCTTCTGCCCCTTCACCATCTGGTGGCTGACTAACACCAGCACTCCCTGCCCTAAAGTGCAGCACTCCAATTCCTTGTCACCTACTCTCTGGGCCCAGCCAAGGAACTGGTGGCTTTATCCCTGCCCAAATCTTCCAGGAACCCCCACGTCTGGGGCAGACAGAGTCAACACTGCCAGTGCTGGGGGTCAGGCTTGGATTGGGGGAATGAATGGAGGAGGGGCTTTTAGAGTAGGGTTTTGAAGAATGAGTAGGAGTTTCCCAGATGAGGAAGAGTAACTGCAAAAACACCCAGTTTATGAAGCACCTACTATATGCCTACTGTGTCCTTTATACATCATGTAACCCTTCTCTCCATTGAAAGTCTCAGCCCTTATTTCCCAAATGAAGAAACAGAGGTGTCATGGAGAGAACCCAGGTAACACTTTTTCGCTCTTTCTGGCCCCTTTTCCTCTGCTTTTTCTTTCTTTAAAAAAATTTTTTTTTATTGATTTCAGAGAGGAAGGGAGAGGGAGAGAGAAATAGAAACATCAATGATGAGAGTCATTGATCAGCTGCCTCGTGCACACCCCCTACTGGGGATTGAGCCTGCAACCCAGTCATGTGCCCTTGACTGGAATTGAACCTAGACTCTTCAGTCTGCAGGCCGGTGGTCTATCCACTGAGCCGAACCAGCTAGAGCTGCTTTGCTTTTCAATATCTTCAGCCTTTGGTTCTAACCAGAGAGGGAAGAGAGGAAACACCATCAGGAAAGAAGGCCACTTCTTACGCTCTTGCTATGGAGTTTAGCACGTAATAATGTTGTGGGGTGTTTTTTTAAGAAAATCATTCTTCCCATCAGCCCAGCAACCTGGGATGATGTCCCCATTTCACAGAGGAAGACACTACTGCGTCTCAGAGGCTCTCCCGGGCCCCAGCTTCCCAGGAGCACCACCCTCCAGCTTCTCCCCCAGGAAAGCAGCCACAGACCCTGCCCAGCTGTGGTCCCTGGAGTGTTTACTGTGTCGGCTGGACCAGGCGGGCGGGGGCGGACAAAGTCCGGGGAATATAAAGGTCTGGCAGCAGCGTCCGGTCAGTCACAGCTCAGAGCACAAGGAGCACAGCTTTGCCCGGGCAGGGCCCCACGACACCGCGCTGCCTGCGATGCTGTTGATGCTGCTGACGCTCTCCTGGCTGCCGTCGGGGGGCGCCCTATCTCTTGTTCAGGAGCACCTCCCGGTCCTCCCGGGGCCCTCACAGGCACACTCCAGTCCGAATATCTCCAGGTTCCAGGAGTTGAGGAAACGCTACGAAGATTTGCTGACCAGGCTTCGAGCAAACCAGACGTGGGAAGACTCGAACCCTGACCTCATCCCTGCCTCTCACGTCCAGATACTCACCCCAAAGCGTGAGTGAAATCTCGAATACACCCCCCCCCCAACCCAAGCAGCTTCTATCATCTAACCAGTGGTTCTGAGTTATAGAGCATGATGCTGGGCCTCAGTTTCCCCATCTGTGAGCCGGACAAACGCGTCCCTCCTCGGGGCTGATTGGGGAGCTAGCGTTCCTGTTTGCATCAGGACAAGCTTAGCCAACATGGGAGAGGGGAATTACATCTCCCCGGATAGCAGACGGGGAAACTGAGGCCGAGAGAAGCCAGCGAGTCTCCTGAAGGCTCACCTAGCCTCGAGAGCCCTGGGATGAGGTCGGCAGGGTGCGTGGTCCCTGTCCTTGAATGTAGCTGGGGTTGAGGTGGGTGGGATCCTAGAGGGTGGATGCAGGGGCAGGGCGGGGGGGTGGGAAGGGGAGCAGGGGACTTGGTGCACAAAGAGGGGAAGAACCCACCGGGACTGGTTCTGAATCTGATGCAATCTCGCTGCCAGGCACTGCTGAAGTGGCATGTGCTAGGTGCCCTGAAAGGAGGGGAGTATTTTCCGAGAAGACTCCGGGAGGTGGAGAGGGCAGATCTGGCCTGCGCTAGGAACTGGGAGGGGCTGGGGAGAGGGTGTCAAACCAGAAGAGGTGATTTTATCCCGCCCTAATCCCACTGGTGCTGTCAGACTCCAGGTAAACCTCTCGCCCTTTTAGTCTAACAAACCGGTGGTGCTCATGCAGCAACTCAAACACCAGTCTCTGTAGTAGCCCCAACACCTGTACCAGCTGGGGGTCTGCGAATTCCGGGGAGCCTGGTACCCTTCATTTCTCAGATGGGAAACCGAGACCCAAGGAGTTGAAAACAGTGTCTGGTTGCTGAAACCCTAGCCCCAGTACTTAGTAGGCCTTCAATGAAAATGTTTTTGACTGCCAGGAGGAGGCAGCATCAGCATTTGACTAAGCACCTACTGTGTGCCATGCACCGTGGTGATCTGGCAGACAAATCCCTACCAAACAAAACAGGGTGGTGCCTATTTTAGGCAGGTTGGAGGGATTCAGGGAGTGTGGCTGGTGGAGGAAGGGGTTTATGCAATGGCCCTGAGGTGGGATCCAGCCTGGCCTGTGGGAGGAAATGGGCACCCTCACGCCCGGCACACAGTAGGCCCGTGGGTGACTGGCCTTCCTCTCTCTCCCACAGTGAGACTTGGACCAGGCGGCCACCTGCACCTGGGCATCCCCCGGGCCAACCTGACGAAGGGGCTCCCCGCAGCCTCCCGCCTGCATCGGGCCCTGCTCAGGCTGTCCCCGACGGAGTCGGGCTCGTGGGATGTGACGCGGCCGCTGCAGCGTCAGATCGGCTTCGGCGTCTCCCGGGAGCCCGCACTGCCTCTGCACCGGCTGCCGCCATCTGACCGGTTGCTGGCGGCATCGACTTCCGCACGGCTCCGGCTGGAGCTGCACTGGCGGCCACGCGCCGGCAGGGAACGCCGCAGCACGCATGCGCGCGCTCAGGACGGCTGCCCGCTCGGGGAGGGGCGCTGCTGCCGCCTGCGGAGCCTGCGCGCAACGCTGGACGACTTGGGCTGGGCCGACTGGGTCCTGGCCCCGCGCGAGCTGGATGTGCGCATGTGCAGCGGCGCGTGCCCGAGCCAGTTCCGGTCGGCGAACAGGCATGCGCAGATGCTGGCGCGTCTGCACCGCCTGAAGCCCGAGGGCGTCCCTGCGCCGTGCTGCGTGCCCGCCAGCTACGAGCCCGTGGTGCTCCTGCACCGGGACAGCGAGGGCCGCGTGTCGCTCACGCCCTACGACGACCTCGTGGCCAGCGACTGCCACTGCTTGTGAGCGGACCGAGACCTTCATCGACGGCGTGCTCAGCGGAGGCGACCTCAGTCCTTGCCTGTCCAATGGAATGGGCTAGTGGGACCTGAAATAACAATTATAGCCACTGCTGTCTGCGGCCTGCCGCCAAAAACAAAGTTTTTATAAGTTGATATTTATTATTAATTTATTGGGGTGACTGGCCTGCGGACCAGAGAGCTGGGGAGGGCTGATCCAGCAGGGTGTACGTTTATTTAAACTGTGGTAATAAAAATGAATTTGTGTGACCTGGCTCCTGTGGTGCGTGAGCTGGGGACCCTGGGAAGAGCCTGCCCCTCCCTGGCCTCAGTTCCCACAGGGGACCTAAGAGAGGGGTGAGTGGAAGGGTCAGTGAATGGGCAGCAGGGCGTTCTTGGACCTGACGGGCAATTGGACGGTGCTAGTGACCCTCCAAGGGCAGCCTGGGACGTCCCTGCCTCCATGCTTGTCTAGCTCCATTTCTCTGGGTCAGTTTCCCTCTATCTCCTCATCTCTCAGGGCTCCTGTTTCTGGACGAGTTAAGATATCAGTATATTAGAGCTAAAACAGACTAAGAGCCCAGCTAGTGTGGCTCGGTGGTTGGGCATTGGCCTATGAACTAGGGGGTCATGGTTCGATTCCTGGTCAAGGCACATGCCTGGGTTTCAGGCTCCACCCTGTGCAGGAGTCAGTCGATCAATGATTCTTCTCATCATTGATGTTTCTATCCCTCCCTCTTCCTCTCTGAAATCCATATTAAAAAAATATTTTTAAAAAACACAGTCTTAGAGACCAATTCTAACACTGCATTTTACAGATGGGGGGGAACGAGACCCGTGGAGTTAATGGCAGAGTTAGGACTTGAACTCATGCCCCCTGACGCCCTAGCCATAGTTCTGCAACGATTAGGGTGTTTACGAGTAAGAAAAAGAGGAAGGGGTGGCATTCTGGGGAAAAGGCTTAGGAAAATGAAAGCTTCAGAAGGGAGTGGGTTAGGTGGGGATGGGGCCCAGACCAGAAGGGCAGAGGGATGGGAGAGGCAGCGAGGTGACAAGGCTGGGTCATACAGTCCTCTACCAGACTGAGGACCCAGGGACAATGGGGAGCCATAGAGGGTGTGTGAGCGGGGGAAGGACACAGTCCTGATTCATGAGTTACATAAATCCCTCTGGGGCTGGCGTGGGCTGCCCTGGGGACTGAGTCTGGGTGCCAGGTACCTGGGAGGGGACCTGAGAGGGACAGAGGGGAGGGGCTGGGGAGAAATTCAGGAGTCTCCAGAGATCTAGTCTTGAGAGCTCAGGAAGCCACTGAAAGGAACCTTCTCCCTCTGAGCCAGCAGCCCCACCAGCCCCACAGTGTTTATTGAGCACCATCTGCACACCGAGAGGAAGGTGACAATGGAGTTGACTGTGTGAACCTGCTGTGTCTGTGTTGGAGTCTCCTCTTCCCCTTCTAGCAGCCGAGGGGGCGGAAGAGCAGAGCAGGAGCTGGGCAGAGGGCTGCAAGGACAGCTCTTCCCTATCCCCGTTCCTCGGGCTGGGAGACTGAGGCCAGGGGGATCCAGAATGGCCCGAATCACCTGGAGTGGGGCAGGCTGGAGTTCAGGCTCAGTGCCCTGTGATCACGTACTCATCATCGACCGCGGGAGCCTGGCCCGGGAACTGCAGGTTGCCGTAGACGGGCTGGGAGGCCTGTTGGAGGTCCTCGTAGTTCATGTAGAAGTCACTGTCCTCTGAAGGGTGAGCCCTGTGGGGACAGACAGACAGGAAGGAGGACTCAGAGGGGAGGCACATCAGCTTTGAGAGGCAAAGGCAGTTCAGTGACCCAGTCCACTCATTTCCATATGAAGAAACTGAAGCCAGGGGCACTGTTCTCCCAGCCTAGCAACTTTCTCTGAGGAAAGGAAGTCAGGGTCAGTGAGTCAGGGAAGGTTCTGCGGATTCAGCACAGAATGCTGAGGTCAGAAGACTTTGGGCTATTGTAGCATTTTTTTCCCCCCTTCCTTAAAGTTGAGATGGTTGTCTTGTTTTTTTACATTAAAATCTAGCCTTCAGTTTCTTCTCGAAAAATTGGTAGCTCTGGTCACATCAGCCCCATAAACATACGTGGCTGGAGCCAGTGTCTGTCCTTATAGATAGGAAATGTGTCCATGGTCCCTGAAGCGGCAGACTTTGTGGCCACAAAATAAAAATAAGTCTCGGAGACTCCCTTTCTGCATCCATACATTAGTTGGGGAGGAGGTTGCTCCTTAGGAATGTTTAGCTATGGTAGGCAAGACCCCCCAGAGAAGAACGTTCCTTCCTTCAGAACATCTTAATCCCACCCCGGGTCCTCTTGTAACAAAGGCCACTTTGGGTAAGTGGTGTCTATCACTCATTCACACTTTAGTATGAATTACTCCAAATACATATATGGTTGTACAGGGATGGACAGGACTGGGAGTCAGAGTTTGTTTCCTTCCTCTGCCTCTGACTCACTGTGTGACCTTGGGAAAGTCATTCCCTTTCCTCCCAGAGCCTATCTTTCTCATCTGTAAAATGCAGAGTGGGAATGACGCATCCAATCCTAAATGTTTTCAGAAGAGACCGGCCGTGAACCCTTAGTGACAGGGAAGCAGAGGGGAGCATCAGGGCACAAGCTGCCTTAGCAAGTCTAGTTCCCTCAAATCCCTACCGAAGACCACTTCTGCTTTTAAGCCGTGTTTTAATCTGCTTTGCATATTCTCTCATTTCTCATCAATAGACTCCCACTGCCCGCCCCCCTCCCCCAATCGGGATCTCACCCTCCAAACTCAGCCAGGACCTGTTCCCTTCTTGCTTGTACCCTCCCAACCCCTTCAGCCTCAGCTCTAATGTTTTGCTGTCTCCAAACCCATTGACAGCAGTTTCTCTGTTCTCTCCCACCCGCTGACATTGTTTCCACCGGTGCCTCCCCCTGAAATCCCACCCGCTTCTCATCCAACCTGGGAAAGCTGAACCTACCTAACCCCAGCCTGATCTAGAGACGCTGGGGCTTTGTATAGGGGAGATGGACACAGATGTCTTTCTTAGCATCTCTCATGTGTCCAAGAGAGATGGAGGGAGGGCTGTCCCCATTCCACAAGACGGAAATAGTGTTCAGAGGCAGCGCTGGGTCACACGGAATCTGCAGCCAGGCTGGTGACCGCTACCGCAGAGCCCCCACTCTGCCGAGAGCACTGGCCTCCTCTCTCCCTGTCCTTGGCAGCCAGAAACTGGGTTTGTAGGTCATGAAGGGAGTTTGTCCTGTCTGCAGGGGCTCACTTATTCTTACCCAAACTCCATAAGGCGGGGTTGCTGTTATCCCCATTTTACAGATGAGGCACTGAGACCCGGAAGGGGAAACACTAATTGCTCGAGGTCACACAGCCTGCGAGAGGCAGAGCTGGGATTTGAACCCTGGCCATCTGGCTCCAAAGTCTAACAGGCAAATGCGTGTGGGTCACTCACCCGTGTGTGGCCGACTGGTCCTCGGCAGGTGGCTGGCCTATGAACACATTCTCATAGTCAGGTGTGGGGGGTCTGGGTAGGGTGGCTTCTGGTTGGTGAAGGCTGAGGCTCCGGCTACTGTATTTTGGCTGCCAGCCTGAGCTGGGCCTGGGACCATCTGGAGCAGCCCATGTCTTGTCCTGGCTCTGGCTCCTGGGTGACCAGCGTGACCGGAATCTCCAGGCCAGCAATGAGCCAGCTATGATGAGCCCAAGGAGCAGGCTTCCACTGGCTGCCAGTGCCCCAATGGCCGCCCAGGACAGGCCAGGGGGGCAGCTGACCTCCAGGAAGGTGGAGAGGTTGCGCCAGGTGAAGGTGCCGGCATCCAGGCACTGCGGGGGCAGCTGGTCAGAGCAGTTGTCCCGCCGGACCTTGTGCCAGGAGGCCAGGCTGCAGCGGCAGTCAGCCTTCAAGTCAAGGGCGCAGCGTCCTGCCAGCTCCGCGTCCACGCGGTCCAGAGGGTTGTTGGTCACATTCAGGACCTGCAGCTTTTCCAGGCGGGCAAAAAAGGACGCCGGGAGCTCCCGGAGGCCGTTCCCAGACAGGTCCAGGAGGAGCACGCTGCTGGCCTGCAGAGACCTGTTCCAGGGAAGGTCCAGGCCTCGGCCGCTGAAGTTCAAGCAGGTGGCGGTGAACTCCGCGGCCCAGTCCACGTCCCCCGAGGACACGTTGCAGGACAACCCCAGGCTGCATGGATCCTGCAGTAGCAGCAGCAACCACAGCGCCCAGGGCAGGGCGCGCCCCATTCAAGCAACCTAGACAGAGACACCAGAATCCAAGCCCGACCCCTGCCTGTGGCCGCTCTCACCCTCCACACCTGGGTTTATTGTGAGTTGGGTTTGTTTGTTCTTAATGGCTCAGAACAGCTCAGGACGCTTTTGGTAATAGGCAGCCCCTCACTTGTAGCCCCTTATTGTTTGGCTCTGGCCTCCAGCCTCAGTCTTTCCGCTCCGGGGAATGGGTACATGACCCCGGTGCCAGTCCCAGCGTTGCCCCTTCTACCAGATGGGTTCCTGGGCTTGGCTCAAGCCCCTAACATTTCGGGCGGCTTCATTGGCCAATACGCGACTATATGCAAATGAGCGGTGGCCCGGCAGAGGGCCGGTCTCCCAAGCACCGCGGCTGGGAGTCCTGGGCTGGGCTGGGGTGGGTGGATGGGTGGGGGGTGCCGAACTCTGATTTGCAGGCCCTGCACAGACCCCAGTTCTAGCCTCTGTCCTGTCTTTGCGGCCCCATTACCACGCCTTTACCTGGGCGGTGCTGGGAGATCCGGCGCAGAGGAGAGCTTGGTGCTGGATCACCTGGACCCGGGCGCACAGGAGCCGCGGCACCTCTCAAATCCCTCCGGTCCCTAGCGCTCCGCAGACTCTGCACCCAGCGACGCGGGGGAAGAGGAACTGGAGTCCGGGTGGAGCGCAGAGGGCAAGAATGAAGAAGACACAGAGAAGACCCGCCCTTCTGCAAGGCCTCCAGGCCCAGGATTCTCACGGGAGGGGGAAGGGCGGCCCGCTTCCCTCTTGCTGGAGCCCAGTCAACCCCCATTAATATCCCCGCTGCGGTCCCATCACCACGCCTTCATCAACTCACTTCCTGGTCTCGGCTCAGTTGACTCTCAACCCTTGCATTCATTTATTCACTCCACAGACATCACCCAGGGCCCCAAGAGGCCTCAGCCCTGACCAGGTTCTCGAGGAACACCCGGTCCTGAGAGAGGACAGAGCTGTACACAGACACCCTAGTCCCATGCAGTCAGGACAGGGCTAGAGGGAGGGACACAGTCCTGGAAGGCTTCTTGGGGGAGGAGACATTAAAATTGGAGCTTCAACGCGTGAATAGAAGTTTGCTGAGGATTCCTAAAACCTGCCTGTGACTCCCCACGTTCCTCGTCTCCCCCACAGACTCAGCACTCTTGCTCGTGCACCAAGAGGCCTCCATGTTACGGGGTTGGTGAGGAGGTTCCCTGGGTGAAGGGACATTGAGTCTGGGGCTTGGAGAATGACAGGCAGTGGCAGGCAGAAGCAAACCCATTGGCAGATTCTAGGCAGAAGGCACAGCAGGAGCAAAGACCCTTGGCCCTGGGCTCAAAGCACGGGTCCTGGGACTGTTGGTTAGCAGGGGAGTGGCTGGAGTGGACATGCTAAGAGGAGGAACTGGTAGTGTGTGTGTGTGTGTGTGTGTGTGTGTGTGTGTGTGTGTGTAGGAGGAGGAACAGAGGACAGGCCTTGAAGCAGGCTGAGGAGTGGGACTTTATTCCCAGGGCCATGGGGAGCCAAAGCAGATGTGTGAGCTGGGGAGGGGCATTGTGTCAAGACTTACAACTGGAGTGAGCCTGGGGACTGGGGAGGGAATCCAGGGAGGAGACCAGTATCCCCCAGGGAGAGGTAGCCTGAATCAGACCTGAAGGATAGTAGCAGTGAGATGGAGGAGGGAGTGGACAGGGCTGGGCTGGGAGAAGGTCTCAGCTTCAGTGGGGTCCTGGCATATCAGGCAGATTGAGTTCAATTCCATTCTGGCCCCCGACTCGCTGTGCAACCTTAACTGTTCTCTGTGCCTCAGTTTCCACATCTGTAAAAGGGGATAAGTGCGAAGAGCCTTCCAGATTCTGGGAGGCTGCAGTCCGCTCCTTCCACTTTCCCCTCTCCTCAGACTCTGCTCTTCCCATTTCCATACTCAGAAGAATTCAGAGACTTTTCAGAAAGGGTTGCAAATTGTTCTTCAACACACCCTCCCAAAGTTACTCCAAATAAGAAAGTGTAATCACAACTCTGAGACCGTTCGTTTTCACTTATCAGATTGGCAAGAATTCAAAGGTGTGATACATCTGTGCTGGGCGGAATGTGGGGAAACAGGCAATCCCACACACTGCGGGGGGATCTCCACAGTGCGGCCCCAGGAAAGGCACCCTGGCCCAGGCCACCAGAATCGTGAACACATGTGCCCACTCACCCAGCAACCCCACCTGGGACTCCCGCAAAATATCTGCGTTTGCAAAATGTCAGGGGCGTAAACTGATGAAGGTTGAACGCAACGCGGTCCGTCCACACGGTGGAATATTACTCAGCCCTAACAAGGAGTGAAGCACTGACATCTACAATGTGGATGAACCTGAAAGACATGCCAAGTAAAAGAAGCCAGACACAAAAGGCCACATGTTGTATGACCTCAGTTATGTGAAATGCCCAGAACAGACCAAGGCAGATTCCTAGAGACAGAAAGCACATTAGCGGCTGCCAGAGTCGGGGGGATGGGAAATGGCTACTAATGGGGACGAGGTCTCCTTTTGGGTGATGGAAATGTTCTGAAACTAGATAGAGGTGATGGTTGTGCAACATGAATGCTCTAGAATACCACTGAATTGTTCACTTTAAAACGGTTAAAATGGCCCGGCCGGCGTGGCTCAATGGTTGTGTGTCGACCTATGTACCAGGAAGTCACGGGTTTGATTCCCGGTCAGGGCATATGCCTGGATTGTGGGCTTGATCCCCAGTGTGGGACGTGCAGGAGGCAGCTGATCAGTGATTCTCTCTCATCATTGATGTTTTTATCTCTCTCTCCCTTGCCCTTCCTCTCAGAAGGGAGAGAGGAAAAGAGAGAGAAGCACTGGTTTTTAAAATATATATATTTTTATTGATTTTAGAGAGAGGAAGGGAGAGGGACAGAGAGATAGAAACATCAATAGGCTGCCTCCTGCATGCCCCCTACTGGGGATGGAGTCTGCAACCAGGGCATGTGCCCTGATCAGAGTTGAACCATGACTTCCTGGTTCATGGACGGACACTCAACCACCAAGCCACACGGCCCGGCAGAAACATTGATTTGTCGTTGCACTTACTTATGCATTCATTGGTTGATTCTTGTATGTGCTTTAACTGGGGATCGAACCCACAACCTTGGTGTATCGGGAAGATGCTCTAATCAATGAGCTACCAGCCAGGGCTAGGGCGGCACCTGTTTAATGGGATGATCAAGGAATCCTTATTGAGAAGGATAAAGGAGCTTACTGAGTAAGGAGATGGGGGAAGGGCACCCAGTGTGTGGAACAGCTTATGCAAAGGCCCTGGGGTAGAAGCTGCCTGGGTGGAAGCAGCTGTCTCCAGGAGAAAATGTTAACTGAAAAAAGCAAATAAAATAATAATAATAATAATTTTCTAGATTTCATTTGCCTACAGAAACTTTGGATGAAACATGAAAAACAAAAATTAAGCTACCTAGGAATAAACTTAACTAAAGAGGTAAAAGACCTCTACTCAGAAAACTACAGGACGTTGAAAAAAGAGATAGAGGAAGACATAAAGAGATGGAAGAACATACCATGTTCTTGGATTGGTAGAATCAACATCATTAAAATGTCCATACTGCCCAAAGCAATCTATAAATTCAACGCACTTCCCATTAAAATACCAACGGCATATTTCACAGACCTAGAAACATGAAAAACAAATACCCATGGTTACCTCTTAGTGGCAGGCAGCTGGGAGGGAGAAGGGCACCATGTACATTTTAATATTTTTTATTTTAGGATCCCATCATTTCATTGGAATGCGAATCATAGTCAGCACATTCAATTAAAACATTAAAATTAGCCAGCAAGTACACACCAGACACTCAGGTTTTCAGGACAAGAGGGAAGAGGGGTCCCACCGGGCCAGGTGCAGGTGGGCCATCTCCCACACCCCACGTCCTGGAAGGAGTGGGTAGCGTCCAACACGAAGGCCTCTTAGAATAAGAGGAAATGAGCAAATGAGGAAGCAGCAGACACTCGGGCTGTGGGGGAGGGGGCAGGCAGGCCTGGGGCCTGGGAGAGTAGTTCTGGGGGAACTAGAGGTTTGGGGTCTGACATATCTGGGTGTCCTGGAGCTCGGGAGGCTTCCGTCTTGTGGCTTGGGTGTCTGGAAATGCCTCGAATTTGGGGGGTTCTGGCTTCTGGAGCATGTCATAAGGTTAACAGGCTTGGGGTCTAGGCCTCTTGCTGTAGTCCCAGCGGGCCATGCCCAGGACTGCGGAAGGGAGGGAACTCTGGCTCCGCTGGCCCCCACCCTGGCTGAGGGGAGCTGGAAGCTTCTGGAAGGCACATCTTCATACTCCCTTCCTGCCCACCTGACACACACGAGCAGGTCCTGGGCCTGAGTTCCAGGAAGGGCTGGCCCATCGCATCAGCACAGAGAGCTCCAGAGACCCTCAGAGACCGAGAGAGAGAGAGAGAGAGAGAGAGAGAGAGAGAGAGAGAGAGAGAGAGAGAAGGAGTTCCCTCAGTTCAGCTACATGAGCCCAACACTCTCGGATGCCCTGCACCCACCCTCGCTGGGTGAGGCCTCGGCCTGGGCCCTGCCCCTAGGAGCCCCTAGGCTTCCTGGCCCAGCCCCCTTCCTGGCTTCCTGCCAGCTCCATCCTCTCCTAACAGTCTTTGAAACCCCACCCCTCTCTCGGAGGCCGGTCCCCCCTGGGGGAGGGGTGGGGCAGCCTGACACAGCAGCAGCCGAGGCCATTTAGGGGGCTGGCGATCTTCAGGCGTCTGCGGGGCTCTGGAGCCAGCAAGTCAGGACAGAAGGCAGGTGTGGTGGCCAAGGGCTGGCCTGGGGCAGTGAAGCCCACAGGTTTACCTGCCACGTGGGTGACCCCAGACCTCTAGGCAATCATTCAGCAAACCCGGCCCGGGATATGCTTGGCCACTTCCCTGCTGTGTGACCTCCGGCCAGTACCTTAACCTCCCTGTGCCTGGGCTGGCTTTCTTCTCTTAAAATGAGGACAGTCACGACCACTGTGTAGGTGGCTGTGAAAGGCTGGGAGGCAGACATGAATGTGAGCACCAGCCTGGAGCTGGGGACACACGTGACCAATGCACCAGCTGAGTGTCCCATGGGCTAAAGCGATAGCCCACGAACACACAAATCTAATTCCGGAGGTAATCCTTGATTTTCAATGAGGAGGAAAGACCTTATTTGAGGTCACATGGCCTTGTTGGTTATAGCAAATTTTGAGAAGCCACTGGATACCTTTGGGAGGGGGGTGGGCAAACAAGAGATGGCACTGAGGCGGCCGTGGTCAAAAGGTGCAGGCCACCTGCCAGATGGCATTTCCCTGCTCTGGCCACAGGAGGCCATGCTGCCGGCCCACAGGCTCTCCGAGGAGCAGCCCTGAAACACAGACGAAGGCAGTTGATTATAAACGCCCAGGCTCCTAGTCCTCCCGGTAGAGCATCTCTGTCTCCCTGGGGACTCCCTGGAAACCCAGCCTCCGGGGAGCCCCTCACAACATCTTCGGCAGGGCGCCTCTCGCCTCACTGCGACCCGGGCTCCTGGGGTGACCTCCCAAGTAATTATGCTCTTGAATTCTGGTCATAGGGGCTGCTTCCTGGGGATCCCACATGAAGATAAGTGAAGTGCTGTAAAGGAATACTGCATGATCTCACTTACACGTGGAGTCTGGAGGTGGATATGTACATTGAGTGTAATGAATATCTCACACTATTAATCAAACATCAAGTTGTACACCTTAATATGTACACATTTTTCCTTTTGGTACCCTGACCAGGCATTAAACCAGCCGTGGGCAAACTACGGCCCGCAGGCCGGATCCGGCCCGTTTGAAATGAATAAAACTAAAAAAAAAAAAAGACCGTACCCTTTTATGTAATGATGTTTACTTTGAATTTATATTAGTTCACACAAACACTCCATCCATGCTTTTGTTCCGGCCCTCTGGTCCAGTTTAAGAACCCATTGTGGCCCTCGAGTCAAAAAGTTTGCCCACCCCTGCATTAAACCCACAACCTTGGCATATCAGATGATGTTCTAACCAACTGAGCTACCTAACCAGGGCTTATATGTGGAATCTAAAAAAACAAAATAAATTAATAAACAAAACAGAAACAGCCCTAGCCGTTTGGCTCAGTGGTTACAGCATCAGCCTTGGACTGAAGGGTCGCGGGTTTGATTCCGGTCAAAGGCACGTGCCTCAGTTGCAGGCTCGATACCCAGGCTTGGTCAGGGTGCGTGTAGGAGGCAACCAATGTGTCTCTCTCATATAGATGTTTCTGTCTCTCCCCTCCCTTCCATTCTCTCTAAAAAAAACTGGAAAAAATATCGTCAGGTGAGGATTAACAAAAAATAAACAACCAGAAACAGAACTATAGATATAGAGAACAACTTGATGGTTGTTAAAGGGGAGGGAGTGAGGGGGGAAGGGAATTAAAAAATTAACAATAGCCCTGACCAGTTTGGCTCAGTGGATAGAGCGTTGGCCTGCGGACTCAAGGGTCCCAGGTTCGATTCCAGTCAAGGGCATGTGCCTTGGTTGCGGGCACATCCCCAGTGGGGAGTGTGCAGGAGGCAGCTGATCGGTGTTTCTCTCTCATCGATGTTTCTGACTCTCTATCCCTCTCCCTTCCTCTCTGTAAAAAATCAATAAAATATATTAAAAAAAAATTAACAATAATCATTTATCTCATGATTAAAAAAAGGAATGCTATACAGCAGTTAGATTTTTAAAACATTGTTTACTATGTATAACTATATAAGTATCAACATGGAAATATATCATATCATCAAATAATTTATAAATGTTTATTATAATATATAATTATTATATTTAATTATAAGTAGCGGCATCCAGGCACTGGCTACTTAATTAGTATTCAGTTGTGTAATCTTCACAATAGTCCCTTGAAATTGGAACTACCATTGCCGCCCATTTTACAGCAGGGGAAACTGAGGCACAGTGTGTTTGAGTAGCTTGCCCAGGGCCCTACAGTTGCTGAGGGGCAGCCCTGAATCCGTGTGTTGACCATGAGGCTGCATTTGTCTGTGTCCACCTGGAAGGTGTGCAGAGTCATTGCATAACACACATGGCGCTTGTGGATGCACAGGTGGTAGCGGCTGCCTGGGGGTGGGGACTAATAAGGGTATTTAGCTTTATCGGCTAGGTTTGATTCATTTTATTTTTGGCAAGTTTTGTTCGTTTCACAAATATTAACTGAGCGCCTACTGGAAGCATGCAGCAAGACTCCTGCCCTTGGGGAGCTGACATTCCGGTGAGGGAGGTGATGGAACTATAAACTGACAAATTCAAAGGAGGTTGGAAAACAGTGTTATTGCGCCCGGCCAGGGTAGCTCAGTGGTTGAGTGTAGACCTATGAACCAGGAGGTCATGATTCGGTTCCTGGTCAGGGCATAGGCTCAGGTTGGGGTTGCAGGCTAGATCCCCAGAGGGGGGCGTGCAGGAGGCAGCTGATCAATGATTCTCTCCCATCATTGATGCTTCTATCTCTCTTCCTCTCCCTTCCTCTCTGAAATCAATTTTAAGAAAGTAGCGCTGTTGAGGAAAAAAAAATGACTGTGGGGTATTCTGACAACTAGATGGGGCTATTGACAGTTTTGAGGGTTTAGTCAAGGAAGGCCTCTTGAGAAAAAAGATAGGACAAAAAAGGAAAAACAAAACAAAAAGATTGGAGGAAAGAGCTCAAAATGGGAATGAGGGTGTGTTTTTTTGGAGGGGGGAGAACTGGGAGATTTTTGAAATATTTTTTTCTGCTATGAGATTATTCAACTCCTTAATATGTAAACGTTAGTTGGAAGCCCACTTGGAGGTGAAATCAGAGAAACCTACTGGGTTCCAAGCCTGAAACTCGGGATCTCAAGAGCTGCTCCAAAGGGGCGCCAGGGACCCTCAGGAATTGGACCTGCGAGTCTCTGCTGCCCTCGTGTGGTCAAGCTAGGGATTGCAGGCGCGGGTGGCCTTGGCAGAAGTGGAAAATTGGTTCCTCCCCCTTCTGACCCCCGCACCCCACCTCAGCCACAAGCGGGTTGTGACAATCTGTGTGGCCCTTAGGCTGAGATCTCTGAGGACACTGGAGGCCTCAGGCCTCAGCACAGAGGAGGCATTTGTAATTTTTAGTTCAGCAACAGGTATTTATTGAGTGCCTACCTACTGTGTGCCAAGCCTTGTTCTCAGGGCTAGGGATACAGCATGAAACAAAACAGTAGAATTCTCTGCTCATGAAACTCGTGAATTACTGGGGACATGAGCAATCAACGTGCAAAAACAAAATTTTCAGGAAAATCCAACAGAGCAATGTGACCCAGGACATTGGAGGGGCTCTCTGAGGAGACATCCCTGGAACTGAGGCCTGAACGAGAAGAAGCCAGCCAGCGGGAGGGGAAGGGTGTCCCAGGCAGGGAAAACAGCCTGTGCAAAGGCCCTGGGGTGGGAATGAGCTGGGTGCATGCAACAGGATCATGGACAAAAAATGCCTAGTTTCTGGTGCTTAGGGAGCATCTACTCCCCACTCCTGTTAAGATGGGGGACCTTGGACGGGGCAGAAAAAATTTGTCCCCGTGTACCACACAGAGTGAGAATGCAACCTTAGGGTGCCATGGAAATGCTTTCCTCCACCACAAGAGGCCTGGGCTCTGGAGAGAGAAGGGGGGGCACTGCCACCACACCCCAAAGTGGACCTGGTACCTCCACTCTCTGCTATGCATCTTGGGGCAAGTTGCTTCCCTGCTCTGAGCCTATTTTATCTGCAGAACTTTGTCAGCAGCTGCTATAGACTCCCCCACCGCCATCTCTCCCTTCCCTTCCCCTTCCCCCAGGCCTGAGGTTCTCACAAAAATGCCTCCAATATCCCAGAGTGAGTGTCCCAGACCTAGGCAGGGAGCTGGGGGCACTTCAGGGGGTGGAGTGCTGCCTCTGGGTTGCCCACATGACTCCCCTGGTGCCTGTCTGAGCCTCAGTTTCCCCATCTGTAACATGGGGAAGAGAAACGCTGCCTCTCTCATGAGGTGCTGGGTGCACAGGCTCCTAATGATTGGTTTGACTCTAAAGTTCAAGTGCAAGGCAGAGGGGCAGGTACTTAAGTTTGTGGGCAGTGGGAACCCCAGAAGCTGCTGGGAGCAGGGCAGTGGGCTGGCGGGGCTGCGGTTCAGTCAGCTCTTGCTCAAGTCTACACAACAGAACAGGGCACAGCCAGGGTTCAAACCCAGGCCCAGATCCTCCACTGGGGACTTCTGCCTCCAGGTGACCAGTCTTGGGGTGTAACTTGTAACCTGAGACTCCAAGTAGTTGCTGGTTTTCCAAGAAGTCTATGCTGTCTGAACAACCCTTCGCCTGTGCCCCTCCGCCCCTCCACCAGCACCCCTGGCTGGGGGCCCTGCTCCCACTCTGTCGAGGCTGGAACCCCTACCCAACGCCTCAGCACCCTCACCCACTACCCATATTCACCAGCTGCTGTGGCTTCTTCCTTCCTGGTGTTTGGGTTTTAATTTTTGTGTTGCAGTTAGAAAATTACCCATAATTACAGCTCTGAGA